ATAAAATTGGAGGAAATAAAAATAAATTATAATATATTACATTCTCTTTTATTACATTATTACAAGTATATTAATCATAACTACTCATTTCCGATTTACCATTCCCCGTAATTTCACTTTCAAGAAAGAGCATTCTAAGTTATATATGCTGCTTATGATATATATTTTAAGAAAAAGTTTTTGCTACTTTTTGATACTTTTGTTACATAACGTAAGCAAACTTATGTAAACAAGTCATCGCCTATATCTAAAGGCCCTATATCTAAAGGCTCGTACTGTTATACTGCGATATTAATCAGCAAGTCAGTACGGACCTTTAGATATAGGCGATCATTTGTTTACATATGTTTGCTTACGTTATGTAACAAAAGTAGCAAAAAGTAGCAAAAACTTTTTCTTAAAATATATATCATAAACAGCATATATAACTTAGAATGCTCTTTCTTGAAAGTGGAATTACGGGGAATGGTAAATCGGAAATGAGTAGTTATGATTAATATACTTGTAATAATGCAATAAAAGAGAATGTAATATATTTTAATTTATTTTTATTTCCTCCAATTTTATATATTTTTCATTCTCGATCTTCGCTCATCATATTCGTTAACTAAAGGTCCAAAAAATAATATATAATTGTTTAAAATATGAACGATAAAGTAAAGAAAATGAAAAAAAGTGTTAATATATTTTATAATTTCATCCTATTAAGACTGATACAAAAACAATCCAATCAGCATAACATTTCTCTTATAACTATTTTCAAACATTTTAAATACAATAATAATTTTATTTTAGATCAATATTGATATTGACGGATATTGACTTTTGGTCACATTTAGAAATATTCTGGCCCACTGTGCCACAGTCGAAAGGGAAACGCGTACGAACGAAAGCCGCGTATGTACATTTGCCACATGTATGCGGCTTTTGTTGCGCGTTTCCCCTTCCACCATGAGTCGCGAAGCCGTTGAAATCTGCTTTCACTGATCATGAATAAGCTGTTTTGCTTAGAGTGCGACAAGGCGAGCATAAACGGGCTATCTCAATCTCGCTCAGTGCGCCAAACGCGTGAGAAAACAGAGAAAATCGAGTGGTGGGGGTAAGCGTCGACCGTGCGCCTAAGAATTTCCAGCATTACTTGTGCCTGTGTCGCGTGTCTGCTCACTAATGGTGAGACAAAGTCAAAGCGATTCAATTGTTATCCTTCTAGTAGATAGACTAGGGGGATTCTAACCCAAATTGCTAATTAATTATGCAAAAGACATTATTTATTAATTAATATTTTTTAATTAATACCCCCCATAACTGATACCCCCTCTTAATTGATTCCCCCTCTTAATTGATTCCCCCTCTTAATCGATACCCCCTCTTTATGGATACCCCCTCTTTATTGATACTCCCTCTTTATTGATCCCCCCTGTTTATTGATCCCCTCTGTTTATTGATCCCCCCTATTTATTGATACCCCCTCTTAATTGATCCCCCCTTGTAATTGATACCCTCTCTTTATTGGTACCCTCCTGCTCCACCCAAGAATCTTTGATTCTATGAGCAAGATGGCGGCCGTGACGTCACGAGAGAAAAACGCGTCGGGCTGTAGGTAGACTCGAAACTGGGCCCCGCGGGTTGCTATCGGACGCTCGAACCTCCTAGACCATTGCTGCCTGTTGCTAGTAGACGTCTAGTGAAGGTTCTTACAGTATGTGTGTGATGACGTCACGCATACGTCAAAAGAAAAAACATGGCGGCAGTGTAGGCCAGACTCGAACCTGGGTCCCGCGGTTGCTATCGAGCGCTCCAACCTTCTAGACCATCGTCGCCTATTGCTAGTAGACGTCACGTTACGGGTAAGATGGTGACCGTGACGTCACGCATACGTCAAAAGAACAAACATGGCGGCGGTGTAGGTAGGGTCGAACCTGGGCCCCGCGATTACTATCGAACGTCTATCAGACGTCTCTCGAACGTCTATCGGACGTCTCTCGAACGTCTCTCAAACGTCTATCGGACGTCTCTCGAACTTCTCTCGAACGTCTCTCGAACGTCTATCGGACGTCTCTCGGACGTCTCTCGGACGTCTCTCTCGAACGTCTATCGGATGTCTCTCGAACCTCCTAGACCATTGTTACCTATTGCTAGTAGGCGCCTAGTGAAGGTTCTTACAGTGTGTATGATGGCGTCACGCATGTGTCAAAAGAAAAACAAAGTCGAAACTAGGCCAGACTCGGACCCCGGACCCTTCGTTTACTGTGCGATGGTCCTACCACTTAGACCATCATAGGGTAGGTTGGAAGGGAATACGAAACGTTCGTCGAAAGAGTATTTTACCATACCGACTTGCGCTGGGCACTATCCTCATCGTTCCGAGGAGGGGGAAAGGAAGTAAAATGGGAGACACATAGAATTAATTTATACATAATTTTATGTTTTAGAATGTCATTTATTTGTTCACGGCCTCATACATTATATTTTTTACAGCGCATGCTAACAATTCACAATCAATGAGCGACTCGCGGTCAAAGTCGCTGCTTTCTTGTATTGTTTTTGTTGCAGTATGTATATTAGTAATATAATTCTTCTTTTCACGAAGAATATTTACAAAACTTTTGAATTTTACACTAACTATACAGATATTTTCTGATAACCATCCATACATGTGATTGATGCAATTTTCAAATGTAAATAATACATTTAACGTATCTGGTGTTACATATAAGCAATTATTAAAAATTGTGAGTTTCACAATTTGTGAGTTGTACATCTTACATGACGTTATTGTTAATTCTTCTATACGCATCGGGGGAGACGATGACTTATAAAAATTGGCCTGCAGAAATCTTTGGATGTCAGCACGTTGCCCCATTAGCGCATTCCAAGTTTTGATCGGCAATAGCAGTTGTTTACCACGATTATCATCAACGACTATGTCTATGACGGGTTCGGCTCCTACGCTGATTCCGATATTCAAATATTTATAAGCAGTTGCAGTCAAAGCGTATCGGCGTCCTAAGATATGCATAGCAGGAGGTCGTGGAACGCTGAAAAGACATAGAAAATTTACATGTCTGAATCTTGGAAAAATTACTACGGATAAACTAAAAGAAATAGCATTATAACACTCACCTTTCGCACATTTTCTTGCTCGGTGGAGCCTCGTCCTCATGTTGAGCAGGCATGTAATAATTTGCGTGTTTAGCGTTCACTTCAGCACCGGCAGCATACATTTTTATTATGTAGACACACCCAAACTTTACTATGTAGACACACAACCGATGAATCTCGTGTTCACAGAGCGACTGAGAGACAGAGGTTTTTTTTCCGAAGCCTAATATTAAAGCTACTATAGGGCATCCCCTTCTCTTACTCTTCAGAGTTGTAGCGCATGCGCAGATATATTCCTCAAAACAGGAAAGTAAATGAGATGTAGATATCTTTGGTTAGACTCGGGATGGCATTAGAGATGTCGCTTCCGAACGACATCTTTTAATGATATCAGGGGAGAGGAGAGTGTCTTGACCATGGAGCGTTAGGTAGCTCAGTGGGTTTAGAGCAGCCCCCCTGCGAGAGACCCGAGTTTAATTCCCAGTCTAGCGACTCGCATTTACGCGATATTTTTTCTCTCTTCGGGACGAAATAAGAAGCAGGTCCCATCGTCTAGTTACGCCCTCCTTCTTTCACGGTCGTCATTTGACTCGCGCATATCCGAACGTGTTTTCTAACGGAGAGAATATAAAGTAAAGGATTCCAAAGAGCCGAGTATTCTCTGTAGTTAATAAAGAAATGGAAGACTTCACTCAAACCGAACGAAAACTGTTGGAGCAATCTACTCGTCTGAATTCGCGAGAGGCTTACGACGCGTGGGTGCAAAAGTTTGACAAGTGTATCAGATGTTTGGAAGAATAAAGTCGAGCAAAACGACCGCGATTGTCGATTGGTGCCGCGCAATCAGTGGTGGCTCGTATTGCACGACTCGAGGGACTGAAAATTTCTGTGCAAGAACGCTTCATACACGTGGGTGCTGGACACACATCAAGAGATGCAGAATTGGTATGGAGAGAAATTGATACAGCGTTCGAAAGCCGCATATCAACCGGCGCAGTTATTAACGTGAACCATATCGGACCTCTTCGATTTCTCCAAGATGCGAAGAGTACAGTGCTCGAGCACGTGCGAAGTGCTATGGAAAAGCACGGCAATCTTAAGGTGAACACTGTGTTCAATGGCGAGTTTATTTCAGGCGACAATCATGCATTCAAAAGCATTAACACGAGAAACAGTGAACTCTTTTCTGCTTTAGATTTGGATAAATGGTACGAGCAACGCGTCATCGAGCCTACCTTGGCATCTTTGGAAGAATTTCAAGAACGTGATAGTGGGTGGGCACTGCTACGCATACTTGATCTCACAGTCAATGTGAACAAATACAATCCACTGCATGCAGGGTGCAACATTGAGCTGCCTCGCGAAATAAAATTAAAGAAAGCCGTGATAAACGTACGAACTAAAGACAACGCATGTTTTGCATGGTCCGTGGTCGCGGCATTATATCCAGCTGAAAGAAATGAAGACCGGGAATCTTCGTACCCACATTACACCAAAATATTCAATCTTCAGGATATTGAATTTCCAATGACGTTTAAACAAATTACCAAGTTTGAACAGCTAAACAACATATCCATCAACGTATACACCACTCAAGATAAAAAGAAGCAAGAAGAAGCATGTACGATCGTTCCGATACGTCTCGCCAGTAAGAAGGAAAAGCATGTAAATTTGTTTATTGTGCATATTTGTTATATGTGCAAGATCCAATAGTGCAACATGGGACATTTCGTGTGAATCAAGAATGTTTCATGTCTTGTGGACATGCAACTGAGTAAGAAAAAATGCAAGAAGTATATATGCGATCGATAAGGAGATATTCACCATAAATATAACAAATATGAAATAAAAGAATAACTCGTAATATCCATTTCTTTTTAGTTGCTTGCATTATTTTTATTCCAACGAAAAACTGGAGAATCATATCATAGATTGCAACAAGTTGAATGACTGTGCAGTCATCCTGCCAACAGAGGCCAACAAGTGGCTCAGTTTTACTAATTACAGCAGAAGGGAACGGATTCCATTCGTGGTGTACGCTGACCTGGAATGCATTCTAGAGAAAACGCCAAACGAAGAAAAAAAATCGTATGTGTATCAGCATCATAAAGTACATAGTGTAGCTTATTATGTACGATGTTCCTACGATGAATCATTATCCGCATATCAGTGTCGTCGCGATCCGAATTGCATTTCGTGGTTCGTCGAGGAACTTAAACAATTGGGGCATCGTATAAAAGTTATTTTGTATAATAATACCACTATGAAAATTTTATCACAAGAACAGTGTGCAGCATTTTATAGCGCAACGCACTGTCGTATATGTGAAAAATCATTCGCGGTGGGGGATATACGCGTACACGATCATTGCCATTTAACCGGGCAATACAGGGGTCCTGCACATTCCAATTGTAATTTAAATTATACAGATTCCTATTATATTCCGATAGTCTTTCATAACTTATCAGATTACGACGCTCATTTTATTATCAAGGAAGTAGCCACCGCATTCGAAGGTCACGTCGATGTACTACCAATAACGAAAGAAAAATATATTTCATTTACCAAACATATTAAAGATACAACAAGTAAAACATCAGACTGGCGAAATCATATTAAATTGCGATTTATTGATTCGTACAAATTTCTCAGTACCAGTCTCGATAAATTAGCATCGTTTCTCACTGGAGACAAATTAAAAATTCTTCAATCCGAATTAAAAAACTTATCCAGCAAAGATTTTGATTTATTAACGCGAAAAGGTGTCTTTCCGTACGAATATGTGGATTGTAATGACAAGCTGCAGGATCAATGTTTGCCACCGCGCGAGTTATTCTACAGTTCGTTGACAGATGATATAGTATCTAAGCGCGATTACACGCACGCCGTAAATATATGGGAGCAGTTTTCTATTCAAACCTTAGATGAATATAGCGATTTGTACCTGAAGACTGATGTTTTGTTATTGGCTGATATTTTCGAAAATTTCCGCGATAGTTGTATCAAAAGTTACGGTCTAGATCCCGCGCATTATTATACACTGCCAGATTTCACGTGGGACACGATGTTAAAACATACAAAAATTAATTTTGAATTGTTCACAGATATTGATATGGTAATGTTTATCGAACGCGGTGGTATACGTGGTGGTCTGAGTCAGTGTTCCGGTAGATATGCAAAAGCCAATAACCAATACATGCAGTCTTACGACCCATCGAAGCCATCCTCATACCTCATGTACTTTGATATAAATAATTTGTATGGTTGGGCAATGTGTCAACCGTTACCATACGCTGAATTTAAGTGGGTTGATGATACGTCGAATTTTGATGTATCATCAATCCCACTAGATTCGCTCACAGGTTATATTTTCAAGGTTGATTTGGAGTATCCCCAACACCTACATGATGCACACGTAGATCTACCATTCTGTCCGACGCGAACGAAGCCCCAGAACAAAAGCCAAGAAAAACTCCTTGCGACTTTATATAATAAGCAGCGTTATGTTATTCAATATTGCAACCTGCAGCAATGCACACGCCATGGTCTTCGTATCGGAAAGATTCATCGCATACTCTAATTCACGCAATCTCCATGGCTACGCAACTACATAGAATTAAATACGCAGTTTCGAACGTATGCAACAAACGATTTTGAGAAAAATTTATACACATTGATGAACAACGCGGTATTCGGCAAAACAATGGAAAATGTTCGCAATCACGTCGATAAAACTTTTGACAAAATGGGATGGATGATACAGTGCAGAAGCAATGGTCGCAATGTCAAATTTTCATAGCCAGAGCATCTTTTCAGAAAATTTAATTGCCGTTGAATTGCGAAAACTCGAAGTGAAGTTCAACAAGTCGATCTATGCAGGTATGTGTATTCTCGACATATCTAAGACCTGCTTGTATGAATTTCACCATGAGTACATGTCACCTCTATATCGCGAGAAATGTAAAGTACTGTATACGGACATAGATAGTTTAATTTACCATATAATGTCCGACGATGTGTATGAGCTTATGAAACGTGACATTGCTAGGTTTGATACGAGCGATTATTCTCAAAATAACATATACAGTATGCCGCTTAAGAACAAAAAAATTCCAGGGCTTATGAAAGATGAAAATAACGGAGCTATAATGACAGAATTCGTCGAGCTCAGAGCAAAAATGTATGTGTTGAAAATAGAAGGTAAAAAGGATAATAAAAGGGCGAAGGGTGTTAAGAGGAATATTATAGCGCGAACAATCAATTTTAACGATTACACGTATTGTTTGAGAGAGGAAATTGAAACGAGTCAGCGTCAATCGTACATAAGATCCAAGTTGCATGAGGTATACACAATATTCGAAACGAAAACTGCTCTCAGTCCATACGATGATAAGCGATATATTGTGACTCGATAAATACATTACCATAGGAACATTATAGTATACCATTATAACGTTTATTTGTTTTATTGGCTATTTTACAATTAAGTATGTCATCAAATGTTCTAATAAAACTGTATTCATTTTTTTTTACAATACATTATCTTTTTGTATCCATGAATTATGCGAATTGTCGAATCCCAGCCTTTTTACATATACCTTGCCACCTTGCTTGCGTAACACCTTTTCTACTAAGTATACATCTGGATTGGTGATACTATGTAGTTCGTGTTCGTAGAAACCCCCAGCGACAGGTTTCCCGCGCGAGTCTGCGAGTAGGTAAGTTGCAGGATTAGTTGTCTACACTTTGACGATTTTAAACACTTCGGTTGTCCAATTCGATGTATAGCTTTTTCAAAGTTTTGAATGTTTGCTGACACGTACCGGATCACCCACTTTGAATTTCGCAGGTGCTGCAATCTTTATGTTGCTGTAGACTGTGTTTAAGAGCTTATTAGCAATCGCAGGTGTCACATCGATAGGACGCATGCCGATAGTTCAATGTTTTCGCGTGTTGTATTCAGCGACGAGGCGCGGCAACGAATCGATCCATTTGTAAGTTCCGTTGAACGTAAACATTTTCCACATGTCGTTCTTTAACGTGCGGTTGAATCGTTCCACAACAGATGCCTTTATTACTGAATAAGTCGAATAATGACACCGTGTTTCTTCACAAGACTCTGCAACTTTGTATTGTAAAACTCCTTTCCCTGATCAGTTTGCAAGTTCTTCGGACATCTTCCATCCGTTCGAATTATCTTTGCGAATGCCTTAGCTACCTCCTTTCCGCTTTTGCTCTTTAACGGCACGGCCCATGCATGCTTGCTCAGTACATCGATAATGGTGAGTATGTAGTGGTGGCCTCAATTGAATCGTGAGTAAGGACGCATTTCCACCACATCGGCCTGCCAAAGATCATCGTATCCACGTACAATGACGCGTCTACGAGGAAAATTTCGTCTCGCTGGGGCGTGTAATTCTTTCACTAGTTGTTGTTTGTCGGAATGTTTCTTCTCATCATTTTTCCTCGTTACTCGCCGAGTCATTTTCCCATCATGCGTGAGGCTTTGTCGCTCTGCACCGGCAGAAACAGCTAAAATAGTTTCGATGAATTGCTTTTCTTCTTTTTGTTAAATTTTGACAATTGCTTCTCCGTTGCAGCTCGTGATGATCCGTCTCCTGCTTATGTCGATACTATACGTCAATTTAACTGTAATATTTTACTTTTATATTTTCCGCGATTTCTTTATCTCTGAACCTGTCCAGTCTAAAATTCGTTCTATGTTCTCATGAATGCTATTTATGCTCTGTATGTTTTCTTCCGGTAGTCTTCCAGCCAATCCTTCAATTTTTTACATTCTCATCTACATATTGCTTCGTCTCAACGTTACTTTCATGCAGTGGAAGCTTTACAGCATTTATATTCTCATCAATATACTGCTTCTTCTCAACGTTACTCTCATGCAACAGAAGTTTTATAGACTTTGTACTCTCATCCACATAATATTTATGCGCAGCGTCATTGAAGGCTTCCGACTGCGGTACATTATGTATCGCATACATTTTTGCATCGAAACATTTGCCATCAAAGCCTTTACTATTAGCAGCTAGACAAAGGGCATTTTTATGTACGTATCGTTTGATTGCAACGTTGTTTAAATGATATCTCACACCTGCAACACATTCTTCCACGTATCGTTTAGTTGCAACATCATTGTCGGCTTCAGATTGCGCTATATGTTTTATCTTGCGCGACTTTGTGTCAAAAACTTTGGCAGGGTTTAAATAAAGAACATTTTCATGTATGTAATTTTCAACGTGTTCATTCCATTAATGCGCTCGATCAGTATTCGCACCATTGCTCTCCAAACTTATTCATCGACATTTCGGAGCAGGTTGTACCAACTGACAGACTCGTTTCAATGCCACGCTGCTTAATTTATAATGAGACCAGCTTCGTGGAGTACTTCGATAATCGATAAAATTTCGTGCTCGTGCGAGTTATTGCCAGCTTGGTGCGAAGCGTCAAGCAATCGCAGACGATCCACCAGCTCGTTTGGATCATCCCAATGCACGTAATCTATATTGCTGTCATTTAAGGTCATCATAGTTTGCGATGCGTATAAACCTTTTCCTCCCACATTATTGCTCGACGTATCTGATACTAGGGGCGCGATTATATGTTTATATTTGTGCCCCTTGTTACCGAGTATAGGATTTTGCGGGAGGTACCCACGTCTGTGAGTATTTGTCGCCAATAGTATATTTATGTATTTTTACATATCAGCTTCGGTGTACACAGAATCGTTGAGGATTCATTTGAATATTAGTAAAGACCGGGTGTTCCAATATATCCTGTTTCGCCTATGATTATATTATCGTCTCTGTCCACATCGATACGTTTATCACCGAGCATCGCTCCATTGTTACTAAGACATACACCGTAAACATAATCTATGGTGTTATCTTTTCCACTTCTGTTTAGCACAGCTCCCTATATTTTTGACCCAACGGACCAAAATGATCATGTAAAATTTGTTGTCCTTTGTACGTTCGCAACTGACGCCTAACGGATGTCACTACCGGTTCATCGGGGGTTTCGGAAACATTCTCATCATCATCATCATCAGTGAGTAGATTGTCGATCGGTGAAGGTGAAGGTTCATGGTGAATTCATGTAGTTCTTATATTGGAGCTCCGTGATGTAGAACTATCAGAAGATGTTTAATGTTTCCGTTTTGGTGTAGTAATGCGACTTGATGAAAGTTCTTGCTTAGCTTTAATCTTTTTTCGTTTTAATTTACACTCTTTGGTTTCTTCACTTTACTCATGATAGTGGTTAGTTTTAACATCTGTTACTTTCTACATTAGCGCTGATTTCGCGATTTGTTGAGAGGTTCATAATAGGTTAAAGTGTTCCAATGCGCAATTTTCACATTAACCGGTTTTTCAAAGGCGATATTTCTTGCGGATGATGCGCTGTTTCGATCTCTACTTTCTTTCCTTTCGCATTTACCTTTTCTCACGATCATGATCTTCGCTACATTGCATCATTGATATGTTTGTTGTGGAATGTTGAGATGGTCACGTTGAGGTTAAATGAGATTGTGCATCTCGACAGAAGTCGTTAAATCTCTCCTGTATAGTCGTTCGGTCATTGAGTGTCCCTTATAAATCATGTGAACATTTTATCCTCCACTTTGCACAACTGCATGAAATCTCATATGATGTCAGTGTTAATGATCGTGTATCATGTATTCAAGTTGGGTACATGGCTGTTTAAAGAATCAAAACTTTGCATTGTTCGTTAAGATGCTTGGGTATTTTTGCGGCGTTATGACAGAGATAAGAAAAGTCACGTTCGAATGACGAACCCTTGGCAAGTTTCTT